CCCAGGACCCATCCATGGAACACTTCAGGGGCTAGCAAATCCGTGAGAAGGATAATTACACCCAGCCAAGAGCCGCTAATATTTGTAGATAGTGCATACACTTTCATTATTACATACAAAATGAAAAATGCCATCAAAAGATATACGGAGGATCCTCTCAAAAGTTTTGATTAGTGCTAAGAATTTAAGCTGTAATATTGTTACCATTCTCAAAGATCTTCATTCCCAAGCACCTTGAAATATAGACTATCTCTAGTTGAGCTGTAGTGGTTTATTCAGGTGCCACAGACATTGACACCTTAGAACCCAGCTGTAACTAGAGGTTAAGGCATGGAATGGAAATGGTTAATGCCGGTTACAATTACAACTTAAATTCTTAGTGCTCATCAAAACTTTTGAGAGGATCCTCAGTATGCTGCTGATAGTTAACTATCATATCAAATAACCGGTATCAGCTTTTTGTAAGAAACACGAGTTAAGGTGCAGCTAGGCCGGAACAGATAATTACCCAAAAACGAGTCATCGGAGGACTGGGCCATCCGTATCAGGTTCGATCTACTCCGTACTCCGTACCTACAATACTACATGTATATAATTAGCAGGCGGCCCAACCTTCTCGAGGCCAGTGAATCATTCTGATATAATCTTGGCCTTACGTTCTACTGCCTCGATATCTGATCCTTCTATCCGAATCCCTTCCGATATAACAGCATATTACCGTATTTAGCTTTATCCTCGTAGAGTCCCAAGGACCTCTGTACGGAGTAGATCAGTAGCGAGATCCTCAACCAGCCCGCTTACATTTCCATACTATACTGTGACTGACAATCACAGTGTATAGATGATGAAATGAATGATTATGACTACTGTGAGTCTGACCATATCATTATATTCACAAATGTATATATCGCTATGAGCACAATTATTTAGCAACTGATTATGGTGACTTTTTGCTATGAATAACCTGGTGATCGCAATGCTATCTTGACATAATTATCTCACTTTTATATAGTTCATATATTATAATAATAGGTCTACTGATCATATTTAGTACTATTGATATGATACATATTTCTCCTGATGAGGTGGTTATTTTGTATGCAATAGAGGTACTATACCTACAAAACATTAGCGGCTCTTGGCCGTATGTAATTATCCATCCCCCATACCCTGGTGCTCCCAGAAAAACTGCCGTCTGGCAAGGACTCAAAAGGAGCATCAGAATGTCGATGAAACAAGTTCAAGCAAGGTAGCCATCAAATACTAGCACGTTTGATCATCACTATTTTATTTCTGGTTCTTTCATACCTGATCTGACGGAGCATCAACTGTTGATGTTGCTCCTTGAAAAGTAGGAAGGGGACTGGCAAACGGTTAGACGGTCACCTTTGCATGCTGAGGAACATTCATCTGATGGCTATTCCCTGCAAAACGATGCACATCACTGAAAACGGATCCGTGGACAACCCCTCAATTCACCAATTCACAGAGGGTTGAGGCTCGAGGATGATCAGAAGATGTTCCATGCACGGCACTCACTGTTCCTGCATATGGATGTGTCACTTCTGGGCTAAATATAATCCGTAATGAGAACTTGAAACCGGGCCTCGTCCGTTGGATGTCCGTTAGACACACTGCACCGTACATGCTACATTGCGTACGGCGTATGCTGATACGCCGCCCTGTGAGCTGTCCTGCGTACCACGTATTGGAAATTCCCGCCCAAGCTGCCAGGCTCTGGAATGGATTCCACCTGGCCTGGATTGG